GGGCAATTTTGAGAGAACGGCGATATTTCAGTTCTTCCACAGCCTCACTTGAATTACTCTTCTGATCTGATGAAGAATATGCAATAAGCTTTATTAGCATATAGGAAATAAGCAATTTTACTGATAGTATTTAAATATATTTATATAGACACAAAGTGCAAGCTTCCAATGCCTTATTTTGATGCAAGTGCACAGAAGTTTCTTCACTGTTCCTTCCAACACACTGCACAAGCAGAGAGCACAAGCAGCTGTTTAATCTATTTTCAAACTTAATGAAACAAATGGAAAGGAAAAACATTTTTTAAAAAGCACTCAAGAAATACATAAGTGAGATATAAAACTACTGTCCCACAGGTCTAGTTTTGTGTGTGTTTGACATTCAGAACACACACAAGGCAGCAAACGTTTTGACATATCCTCACCTAAGTTGGAGGCGATGTTTTCTATATATTCCTCCTTCAGTGGTAAGGCATCCGCACAGCTCACGCTAATCCTGAAAACCACAAAACCATCGAATCATTAAATACCACAAAGCTGACTGAAAATGGCACAGCATTAAATATTACTAACAGCATGACACCGCTTTCATCTGGCAACAAACCTGCAATATTTTTCCCCCAAAACACGTATCTGTTAGCAGAAGGAAAAGAACCCAAGAAGAATGCCTGAGCCTGAAGAATGTCTGTTGGTTATGGATGTTCCATGAGATAAAGATAAGGCCAGCCACAGGTTTGGGGTGAGCCATCTAACCCTGCTGTAAATCAATGATCTCACTCCACAGATATCTTCAGATAAAGGAATTACTACTGGTTTTTTGATGTCTAAGAGGGCAAACATAGAACAGTAAAAAGGATACTTAACCGTTCTTTCAAGCCAACTATTTCAACTTCAAAAGATGTCCCCTTTGTGTTATTAACAGATGTTTTTCCAGCAACTCCGGTTTTGCACATAACCTACATTAAAGAGAAAAACAGGCATTTAAAATCCTTGACCAACTCTGTTAGACTCTAGGACAGATCTGACATCAAAATATTTTAATACGAACACGACAGAACAGATTATAGGAGAATATTCTGGTTGAACTATTAAAATCTCTACAGATTAGCTCTTCTTTAAAGTAAACACATGTTTATTTACAGCTCTTACTTACTACTCTGTTTCATCCATTTCTAAGTTACAGCCACAAACCTTTCCTCCTGTGTACATCTGCTTTACCTTTGCTGGCCATAACCGCTTCTTCCACAAGCAAAAAACATACTCCTGATCTGTCATGATGGTGTTCCACGCAGAACAGGAAAATCCCAGTGTGCTCTGAAGAAAAAGAGAATAAGAGAGTTACTCAACACAGTCCATTTTTTACTTCCTTGTTTTCTAAAGAAACACAGGACTTAAATAGGATAGATATTATTAGTTATATGCTGTTTTACCTTTGAGATCACTGGACTAATATTATTTCGCATACAATCCCCAAAATTAAGTTCCAGTAGTATATCTTTCTACAGCTGTGCAACACAAGACAGTCTCATCAAATGTAAGTGTAGAAAATGCTGGCGTAAGTAAACAAAAAAATGCTGTTGCAGGCCTGCACATTCTGTAGTTTCCTACTACCAAATCCCAATAACAGAGGCCAGTCATCACATCCTACAGATTTCGCCATGCTGTGCCCGTTTTTATACGTAGTTTACAATTATAATCACAGTAAACCAGGTACAGAGCTCTCACGAGTTTTTAAAGACCTGAAAGATGCCAGAAAGACCCATTATGAACACGGAAACGCCTCCGTACTTACAGAGCCGAAGGCTGAAGCTTCCCCGGCACGCTGACAAACGGTGCTGCTTCGGGAGGACGACGAGGAGCGGGCGCTACCGAGGCCCCAACAACCGCCT